ATGTGTATAAGAGACAGCCCCCACACACAAACACAGGGAGGAGGAGGGCGAGAGGGGGGAGGGGGAGGATTACAAATAAACATCAAGATAGAGTGAGTCAGTGTACGACAGTGAACGAAGCGGCGCGCGAAACGTCGCCGGCTTGTTTGTGCTGCTCGCGCTTACACGCACACGCTATTCCCTCTCCTCTCGCTCGGCGCTAGAAGTCTCTTGAGCCGCCCCAGGTTTCTACGGTATAACCCGTCTACCGTGTCCAATGCATATTCATACGGCAATACATTACGGCGGCGTACGGCCAGCCAGCGTCGATCTTAGATTAAGGTAAACGCCGGTTAAGTTAACGGCTAAACTCCATAAGTTCCCCTCACCTCATTCGCCTGCTATATCTGTATCGATATACCGTGTACGTCGTTTAGGAGAGCTTCTAGGTGGGGGGGGGTGGGGGGTGGGGATTGGTGTTTCCATATTTTTTTTTCGGCGGACTTGGAGGAGCTCTTCCTGGGTCGGAAACGAAAATCGAAGATTTTGTAGCCAGAGAGAAGGTCGCATTCACCAGGGGATTATATCAAGAGCGATCTCGGGTTACGTCTACGAGCCCTCCATTACCGGCAATTTGCATTGATAGTGACGAATAACCGGCTCAAAACCTACATCTAAAAGCCACTTTGCTGCTGACGTCTCGGATTTCCTCGGAAGTAATGCCTCGATGGGGGAAAAAATTTTTTTTCCAAACTGCTTTATCCTGGGATTTTTTTTTGTTTCCAAATTATTTCGGCAGTTGCGCGCAGACGGTAAAAATCAGATTTTCTAATATTTGCGTTGAAGGGTGGTGATTTCCTGCAGGTGTTTCAACGTTTTTACTCGTGGGGATTTCATAGCTTGTTATTCATACGCGGCCAATAATATATAAACGAAGTGGCGTGTATGACACATGAAACACTGGAGGGTCTTGTCCCTCGTGGGGGGTTGTCTCGTAGCCACAGAAGTGGGAGAACGTGGGGTGAGAATTAGGACTGGTAGAGCGGAGTGGGATTTAGTGAGGTGTGCACAACAGCTCTCTCCCTCTCGCAGTCTTTCTCTTCTCCCTCCCCCCGGTAGATCTTTCTCATGCTGATAAAAAGTATATAATGGACTTAATCGCTTCACTCACTTCCCTAACCGAAAATTTTTCGTTATTTTTCGGGGCCTCCTCAGCCGGTGGCAGCGATTACATCGACACGACATATCTTGACCCCGCACACACCCAACACTACATTCTATTGCTTATTTCGCTTGAAAATATAAGTTGAGTAATTTTTGTATCAATTTAATTGGTGAAGCCGTAGAATGTTTATGCAGATGAATAAATAAGACAGGTGTCTCCTCGGCGGGATTGCGGTAGTGATGCCGCGAGACGCGAGAGAAACGAGACGAGACGAGACAAACGAGACAAGACGAGACAAACGAGATGAGACGAGAGTCGAGAGAGCCTCCCCCTCTCTGCCCCTCTGTGTATTTTTTTCCGTGCAAATTGGATTATAGAGGCGAGATAAGGCGAGACGAGACGAGACGAAAGAATCTCTCAAGTCTCAACGAGATGAGAGAAGAAAATGCTCTCGTATTTTGATACGAGACAAGACGAGACAATGGTTTCCTGACAACGAGACAAGCCGAAAAGATGCAGTATCTCGTCTCGTCTCGTCTCGCGGCATTACTGCTCTCAATTTTCGACGAGACGACAGAAAAAATTGCTCTCGTACTTCGATACGAGACAAGACGAGACGATGGCTTCCTGCCAACGAGACAAGCCGAAAAGATGCAGTATCT